GAGTGTGAGTGTGAGTGTGTGTGTGTGTGTGTGTGTGTGTATGTGTGACGCGTGTGTTTGCGTACGTGCATGCGTGCGTGCGTGCGTCTGTGTGTGTTTACCCTCCGCCTCTGTCTCCTTTGGTGTTTCTTTCTGTGGTTCTGGTTCTGCTAGTGGCTCAGTCTGGATCTCTGCGTCCGCAGCTGAATCTGACAGGAAATAAACAATCAAGTTTATAAATTCAGAATCCTTTTCTCTAAACTAAATTCCTCTATAGTGACTCATTACAGTAGTGTGTTGCAGAGAGGCAGCGCTTTCTATATTTCCTTTCTGTATGTTAAAGAAAACAATGACCCGTATTTGAGACGTTATCTTTAAACAACATACCTGCTTCCTGGGTGAATTTGGAGCTCGTCAAGACCTGTCCAAGCTCTGCAACAGAACATATAAAAAAAAGAAAATAATATGAATCATTATCACATAAAACACACTTCACAACACGTATTATCAGAGCAGATGTTGATATCAGTGATAGTGTGAGAGTGGCTGGATGTTTATGTCCAGAAGCTGTAAAACAGGTTTAATCGCTTTTTTTACGACACTATTAGTGCCTTGATTTTGCTCCCAGTGAGTTAAACATTCAACAAGCGTTTTATTTTTGGCTTTTAACCTGCATTTTACTAGATGACAAAGAATATATATATATATTAATTAAATGATTTGGCATAAACTCTTTTTCTTTATTATTATTGGGTTTTATATTATGTATTTATATTGTGTTAGACTCACCTACACTTTCCTCTGGAAGACTCTCCTCTACTAGAACTGCAGCAGGAGACAGAATCACATTTACTCAAGTTCTGTATTTAATTAGACATTTTAGATAATGTTATTGTCACAGAGTAATTTATAAATGTATTTGACTAAAGTCAAGAATATTAATAATTCTCCCACCACTGCCCTGTAGTCCACTTGATAAAACACATTCCTACAACATCTCCTTCTGCTAATTTCATATTGGAGTTTATAAATTCCCAAAAGTCTCACCTCCAGCTGTGTCTATGGTTTCAGCCTCACTGTCTAAAATAAGCAGATACAAAAAAGTGAATTATTAGAAAAAAATGTAAACGTAAAAAGCAGGGAACAGAGAAGAAGAGTTTACTCACCATAAGGATGAAGGCTGTCTCTAGGATCATCTGTAACAAACACAGACATATTATAAAAACATTTACATTTTACTGCACATTAATTCCTCTACTTTATGCACCTTAACTACATTTTACTGCACAATCAATACTTTGACTTTAAATACCTCCATTACATCATTGTACTTAAGTGAATGCAGTACTTTTAGTGAAGTATTTTTCCTGCAAAGCTCCGAATACGGTTTCACTTACCTGGCACAAAGTCATCCATCACCATTGGAGGGAGAGGTACGGCAGCTGGAGATACAGAAACAAACAACATAAAACTAACGTATACAAATAATTATAATATTCTGAGTACGTATGTATTAATAGTTAGCAGGTAAACAGAGAATTACATAATGTCTACTTAACAAATTAGCCCTGAACACCAGACATCCTTTCTCACATCACGTATGTATTGTACTTGTATTAGTGAGGCACAAGCATTTAATATACAATAGAAATGTCCAATACGTTTTTTTTAAAACAAGCAAATAATAAAGAAAAAGTGCAACAAAGCAGCAGCATTCAAAGACACAGCAGCTCACACAGCGTTTAATTAAACAAATTAAGCTGCTGCTCTTCATCAGTTAGTGAGAAATATCTTTATTCTTCAACAATTGTTATTATTCTGTCTTTATCTAGTACATACCTTGATCATCATCATCATGCACAGATGAAGGGCTGCTCGCTGAAACTGACAAATAACAGAAATGTAAACACTGAGAGTAACAGTAATAAACAAAAAAATAACAATAAATATAATATGATTATTGACATTAAAAAGAGAGAAATAAACATTGGAAATCAATGATGAACCTCCGTTTAATACACTGTACTCATTTAAAAAATATTTGATCAGCATTCAGTTATGGTAATTCTACTTAAATTACTTGATATCTGTTCATATATTAACACACACACACACACACACAGGTGACGGTTGGCTCCGCCTCTTTTGGCGCTGCTGCGTGCTGATTGGTTGCATCTTTGGTTTTTAAAACTTTAAGAGAGGAAAGCAGGCAGATAAGGTAAATATAGGATATACATTTAAACGGGGCTTTCGAGGTGTTGTCCTGATAAATGTTTAAATGCATTAATTTATGTTTCTGTCCACGGAATAATCGATAAGATGACAAATCATCGCAGCTCGATTTTAAGTACCAAGCGTAAAAATGCTCACTATGTAGACTGGCCCATCTCAGAATCATTATATTACTGTATATTTGCATTACACATATACATTACTTGATGTGCTACTGGGTAACATTTGCATCCCCTGGGGAACAATAACTTCTTATTAATATACTAATATCATCATTTATTTGTTGATTATGGTTGAATTAGTCTGATTCTGTAAAGAAACTAAAGAAAATGTATTTCAGTATTAAGTACAATATTTGCCTCTGAGATGTAGAACAGTAGACATATAAAGTAACACAAAATGAAGTAGCTTCATTGTATTTCAGTTTATTGTAAATGTGAAATAGAAGCAGGGTGGAGCTGGCGTGTGTGTGTGTGCGTGTGTGTGTGTGTGTGTGTGTGTAGGAACGAGTTGAAACAGAAACCCAGATATCATCAGGTCTGAGTCAGCTTATTTGTCTAGGAGACAATAGACGTGCGTGTGCGTGCGTGTGCGTGCGTGTCTCCTCACCCATTTTCTCCTTAGGTGAATGTTCCACATGTGTTTTCTCTGCCACCTTCAACCCTGTGTGGTAGGTTCAAGTGCAAAAATAAAATCAGACACATGCAAACTTAATCACACCTTTCGTATTTTAGGATATATATAGCAAAAATAAAGCAAAACTAAATCAATAAATAAACAAACTATTCAATGCTAGGGATAGTTGTGATGTCTTGAAGTGTGGTTGTATAAGGTACTTCTCCAGAGTCAGTGTACCACCTATAGTAGATGCAGTTTGGAGAAACAGATAGAACAAGTAGGACAAATATGCCCAAATGCACCAGACTCTATTGAAAAAAAACAGCGATTTTACCTCGCAGAACACAGGAGTTTATCGCTTCCTCTATTGGGGAGGTATTCTCTGTTATTATGTGACTTTTGGTAGACCTGCAACTACTGTGTTATGCAAGGTAAAATTACAGTTTTTGTCAATGGATTTTGGAGTCTTTAAAAAGAGCGTAAATACAGCTTAATGGAGTGTACACTTAACTGAAATGTAACTTTTGGGTGTCTAAACTGCATCTACTGTAAGTAAAACACTAACTATGGAGAAGTAAACTATCTTTTTAATGGTGACAGCCAGGGAATGAACATTAGACTTGTTCAAAATGTGTTCTTTGGAATACACATTAGGTTTCAAAACAATCCTTTCACATTTGATTGAATGAAATGAAAGTAAAATAAAGGAACATTTCCTTTTTTGGAACATCACCTAAAATAGCCTTTAATAAACCATGCAACCAAACTTTGTTCATCTTTCACTAAAGTAAAAAGCTGACGCAGAAGTCTTAACCCACACTGTGTATACGTGGGATAAAGAAGACAAGAAAGACAAAAACAGCAGGAAATGCAAAAACTATTTATGACTGATGATGGTTTACAGGTAAGTGGGCCAGTGCCTTAAAGAAAACAGTATGTGCTCCAATTCAACATATCCATCAACCACACACTTACATTTCTTACTTTAAGGAAGAGAAAGTCTTGAGTTACAGCAGCCGGAAAATATTTCTTAGGAAGGAAACAAGATAAGAAAGGAGGAAGCTGTGTTGGAGGGAGATACGTTAAATAAAAGGAAGGAGAATGTGTTGTTCATTACTCATGTTAAAATGTAAGAAAGGGTTTGCAGGTAATGGCAACACGTACTCCCTCCACACATTATCAAGCTACTTTTACATCTCAGTTATCACCAAGAAGGAAGACAAACATATCACAATTTGATAACCAACATTTATTTTTCACAGATTTTCTGACACTTTGAAGGAAAAGTATTTCAGAGAGGATGCAAAAAGCAGAAGATAAGTAATTTTGTTATTTGAAAACAGAATTTACCCCCCTTCAAACCAGCTCTTTTCTCTACATTACCGAAAATTAAAGAATGCTCAAAACTTAATAAAATATAAATCCTAATAAACCATTATCACGCAAAGATAAAAGCCAGTAACCAAAGGGATATCGCACAAAAAGAAAAAAAACCACAACTACACTCAAATATCAGTAAATGAATCCCTTAAGTGGACAATGACGAGGTTTCAAATGACAGCACACACATTGAAAACTATTCAAATCAGTCTTAAAGGTCCCATGTCATGCTTTTCCGGTTATTACCCGTCCCTTTGTGTGTTATGAAGGTTTTTCTGCATGTAAACGGTCTGCAAAGTCACAAACCCTCAAAGTACACCCTGTAGCGAGTAAAACTCTAACACAGAAAAGACCCGTCTATGCTGCCCCAGAACGCCTCGTTGGAGATTTCTCTTTTTCCATTGTTTTCTTCCTGGGTACAGTGACGTGCCCATACCCAAATGGACCTATCCGTGGAGCCGTTACGTTAAGTCCGTGGATTGGTCCAAACTTCTTCACACACACACACACACTCAATCTTTTCTCAGCTGCAGGACGCGGCAAGGCTGTGAGTCTGTGTGAGCAGTGAGCACACACACAAACTCCCAGCCAGGCTGCGGGTGTGTGTGTGTGCTCGGGCTGGTTTCGGGCTGGGTTTCGCTGTCTCGCAGACAACCACTGGGCTCACAGGGAGGGGGGGGCAGGAGCTCCAACAAGCCGTTTAGGACAGAGAGTGAATACACATACTGTACAGAGATGCTGTATGAGAAACCAATGTGAGTTTGGAAAATTGCACAATATAAATCTATTTTAGTAGACCTCAACAATGGAATTATGATCAGTAGAAATGGCCATGACATGGGACCTTTAACACAGTTTCTGTGTTATGCAAGACGACACTTTCACCAAACTATTAACCTTGAGATAATGTCACATTGATGAATCCAAACAGAAAATCTATGCTTTAAACATTCAATGCTTAGTAATGACATCAGCGTTTGAATTTTAGCTAAATGTTTTTTGGTTTTGGATCAATCTAATGTTGATCCTGACTGTATTCTTTTTACAAATTAATTAAAAAAAACGTTGAAACTCAATAAATATTACATTCACATTTGATCAAAGCTGCAGAACTATTTGCAAAAAAAACATATTCACGCTTGCATCATGAGATAAGACAAAAGGGTTTGCTTTCTTTAGCTGATATCCTCACCCAAATAAAACCAAATCAACCAAACATGCAACGGACTAGAAACTGGGTAGAAATCACATTTCAGGATTTTCAAGATTTTCTTCCAGATTTAAAATCATCAAATCTACAAAAGGATGTTGAATACTGAAAAGATTAAAGTAGAAATCAGACCAATCAGCAGGTTGTTTTCCCATAGGTAGTTACACTAGAGAAGCACAGGATATAAAAGTTGACCTGCTCAGTGATGACACAAATGTACAGTTTATATTTCTTTCAAAAGGGAACGATCCTCCCCTCTCCCCCGCTCCCTACTATCTTCTAGCATAATTTACGAGATAGAAACCTTGATTCTTGCGGTCATTTTTGCTTTGCACTCACGGCCAATTTCCCCTCCACCGCCTTTCTTACTACTGGTCGCTCACTTTTTTCCTCAGCTGTTGGAGCTTTTGGTTGGGAAGAGTTTGGTTTCCTCACTTCTACCTTTGCCAGTCTCTCCGCCTCCATCTTGTCCCGAGCGGCTTTCTCTCTAGCAAGTGTCTGCCTTTCCATCAGCGCCTTTTCCATTGAAATTCTCTCTTTCTCCGTCCTTTCCTTCTCCAGTCTCTCCGCCTCCATCTTGTCCCGAGCAGCTTTCTCTCTAGCAAGCGTCTGCCTTTCCATCAGCGCCTTTTCCATTGAAATTCTCTCTTTCTCCGTCCTTTCCTTCTCCAGTCTCTCCGCCTCCATCTTGTCCCGAGCGGCTTTCTCTCTAGCAAGCGTCTGCCTTTCCATCAGCGCCTTTTCCATTGAAATTCTCTCTTTCTCCGTCCTTTCCTTCTCCAGTCTTGTCCTTTCAATTCTCTCCTTCTCCTGAGCAATTCTTGCCCTTTCCTTGGCGATGCGTTCCCTGTCCATTCTCTCCTTTTCTTTGGCTACTCGTTCTTTTTCTACCCTCTCTTTTTCAGCTCTTTCTTTAGCAATGCGTTCCCTCTCCAGCCTTTCTTTTTCAGCTCTTTCTTTAGCGATGCGTTCCTTCTCCAGCCTCTCCTTTTGGGCATTTTCTTTTGCGATGCGTTCCCTTTCTATCCTCTCTTTTTCAGCTCGCTCTTTGGCAATGCGTTCCCTTTCTATCCTCTCTTTTTCTGCTCTTTCCTTAGCAATGCGTTCCCTTTCTATCCTCTCTTTTTCAGCTCGCTCTTTGGCAATGCGTTCCCTTTCTATCCTCTCTTTTTCAGCTCGCTCTTTGGCAATGCGTTCCCTTTCTAGCCTATCTTTTTCTGCTCTTTCCTTAGCAATGCGTTCCCTTTCTACCCTATCTTTTTCAGCTTTTAATTTAGCGATGCGTTCCCTCTCCAGCCTTTCTTTTTCAGCTCTTTCTTTGGCAATGCGTTCCTTCTCCAGCCTCTCCTTTTGGGCATTTTCTTTGGCGATGCGTTCCCTTTCTATCCTCTCTTTTTCAGCTCGCTCTTTGGCAATGCGTTCCCTTTCTAGCCTATCTTTTTCTGCTCTTTCCTTAGCAATGCGTTCCCTTTCACACCTATCTTTTTCAGCTTTTAATTTAGCGATGCGTTCCCTCTCCAGCCTTTCTTTGGCGATGCGTTCCTTCTCCAGCCTCTCCTTTTGGGCATTTTCTTTGGCAATGCGTTCCTTCTCCAGCCTCTCCTTTTGGGCATTTTCTTTGGCGATGCGTTCCTTCTCTAGCCTCTCCTTTTCAGCTCTTAATTTAGCGATGCGTTCCTTCTCCAGCCTCTCCTTTTGGGCATTTTCTTTGGCGATGCGTTCCTTCTCTAGCCTCTCCTTTTCAGCTCTTAATTTAGCGATGCGTTCCTTCTCTAGCCTCTCCTTTTGGGCATTTTCTTTGGCGATGCGTTCCTTCTCTAGCCTCTCCTTTTCAGCTCTTAATTTAGCGATGCGTTCCCTCTCCAGCCTCTCCTTTTGGGCATTTTCTTTGGCGATGCGTTCCTTCTCTAGCCTCTCCTTTTCAGCTCTTAATTTAGCGATGCGTTCCTTCTCCAGCCTCTCCTTTTGGGCATTTTCTTTGGCGATGCGTTCCTTCTCCAGCCTCTCCTTTTGGGCATTTTCTTTGGTGATGCGTTCCTTCTCCAGCCTCTCCTTTTGGGCATTTTCTTTGGCGATGCGTTCCTTCTCCAGCCTCTCCTTTTGGGCATTTTCTTTGGCGATGCGTTCCTTCTCTAGCCTCTCTTTTTGGGCATTTTCTTTGGTGATGCGTTCCTTCTCCAGCCTCTCCTTTTGGGCATTTTCTTTGGCGATGCGTTCCCTTTCTAGTCTCTCTTTTTCAGCTCTTTCCTCTGCGATGCGTTCCTTCTCTAGCCTCTCCTTTTGGGCATTTTCTTTGGCGATGCGTTCCCTTTCTAGTCTCTCTTTTTCAGCTCTTTCCTCTGCGATGCGTTCCCTTTCTAGCCTCTCTTTTTCTCTGGCGATGCGTTCCATCTCCAGCCTCTCTTTTTCTGCTTTTTCTCTGGCGATGCGTTCCCTTTCTAGTCTCTCTTTTTCTGCTTTTTCTCTGGCGATGCGTTCCCGCTCCAGCCTCTCTTTTTCTTTAACGAGGCGTTCCCTCTCGAGCCTCTCTTTCTCGGCTCGTTCTGTGGCGATGCGTTCCCTTTCCAGTCTTTCTTTTTCCGCGTTCTCTTTAGTGATCTTTTCCTTCTCAAGTCTCTCCTTCTCTAACTGTTCCTTCTCTCGGGCTATTCTTTCTCTCTCTTTTGCGATTCGCTCCCTCTCCATCCTCTCCTTTTCAGCCCTCTCTCTTTCCAGTCTCTCTTTCTCCTGTTGTTCCCTCTCCGCTTTTTCCTTCTCCATCCTCTCTCGTTCCCTAGCTAGGCGCTCTTTCTCCATCTTTTCCATCTCTGCCCTCTCTTGCTTTAGTCGTTCCCTCTCTTCTTTGGCCAATCTCTCCATTTCTTGCTTCTCTTTTTCCATCCTCTCCTTCTCCTCCATTAGGTGCTTCTGTGCTTCCTCCATCGTCTTCGTCTTCAGCGCCCAGGCCTTCTCGTGTTCCTCTTCTTCCTCAGCAAGGAAGGCCTTGATCTCAGCCATTGCCATCCGGGCGATCCTTTTGGCCTCGATCTTCTCGTGGATCATCCTTAGCTCTTCCTTCAGAGCAGAGCGTAGCATGGCTCCTCTGATGGGCCGGGCTATTGGATTTAACCGCAGTGTGAAAACCACTCACAAACACGCCTTTTATCGGCTTGTTAGTGGGATCACACAAAGCAACTTAGGAAGTGTTATAGAAAATAGGGGCGGCACAATGATTCGAAATGTTATCAAAACCGCAATTTAGACTATAGTGCAAAATCGAAATTTGCAGTAAGCACAATTTCGTAAAGGCCAAGTATGTGAAGATAACTGAACGAGGTATTGTGGAGCTGCACCGGCCTACAAACGGTATTATACAAACTTCATTTGGCAAATGCAATATCAGTCAAAATAACGCGATTAGTTATTTTCCAAATCATGCAGAACTATCAAGGAAAGGATTTGAAATAATCACACAGTACATGCAGGTACTGCACTGTTAAAGTGCACTTAAAAGCAAAGTCTATTAGTGTACAAGGAACTTTGTATGCATCATATATCAGATGGATATCCCTATTTTTGTATGCAGCTACATAAAAGCCAAAACAAATCTATATACTTTAGGTCATTACATTTATGCTAAAATGATATTAAGTCGATATAATTGATTGAGTTATCGCCCACCTCAAGTTCTTAGTGTTTGATCAAATGTAATATTTGTGGGTCTGCAAGGCTGTTATTCCAACAAAAGGTAACACACAAACAACATCCTTTTGGTCAATCAGCTGTTAAATCAAAGCCGTGCTTGAAAATATCAAACGTGCAGATTTCCATACCTCTGGTTGTGTTTTCTCTAGCATCTTTCTTCTCTGCTTCAGCTAGATACCAAAATATCCAATTATTTTAAAAAACAATTCACAAAGGAGCTTGTTTTCTGCTTTTAACCGTTAATAAATAAGTCAAACTAAAACCAACAGATTAAACTAAATCACAAAAAATAATTCAGAGGGATAGATCTACCTTTTGGGAGTTTAATCTCTGGATCAGTGTCTTCTAAAGTCTTCTCTTCTAGAACAATACACACACAATGTTTGCTACCAAAGCTAAAAACAATATAAAAATCATCACACCAGGCGAAGTTGACCAAAACTAGGGTTGCAAAATTCATTAAATATTCAAGATATTTTCGACTGCTTTGAAACCTACAACACACTCCACGGCAAAACAGATTCAACCATAAAAACTGAAGTATTGTCTGCTGGTAAAGTTACGTTTTTGTACATTCAATTTAGATATTATTTATGAGTCAATGTTATGTCATACTAAGTAAGAATAGTGTGTAAGTATACCATTTCAAACACAGCCAATACCTAAGAAACATGATGCAAAAACACTTTACATTTTGCTAAATATTTTATTTATACCAGCAATAAGGTCAATTAAATAATAAATTACACTGTATATCGCCTGAGGTATCACAGTTAATATTTATTTGGTTATTAGTTTCAATAACACAGCTGAAGGGGATTATAAATCATCTTTAAGTTTTCGGTTTTATTGGCATACAGCAATAAAACTAAAATGTTAATAAAGAAAACATAATTTTAATTCCAATAATTTACCTGAACAACAACACGACAAATGCAAATAAAGCAGGAGTGGACACGTGTTTGTTTGCATGTAGCTTGTGTTATTTTAAAGGGGACCTATCATGCAAAATGCACCTTTGTACGTCTTTTAAACATGAATATGTGTCCCCGGTGTTCCAGGGAACTCACCAAGAGTCAGAAAACACAACCCTCTCTATTTTCCTCCATACCCAAATCTCTAAAAACGGGGCTGCAACGGATCTGATACAGACTGATACAGATTTGAACACTTTACTGACGTCAGGACGGTGGCGCTACGGCTATTGGGCCAACTCCACCAATCAGGAGGAGACAGCCACAGCCATTGCCGTTCGAAAGCGCTGGAGACGCTGTAGTACATATGCCAGGCCTGTAGATGGTGCTGTTCTCACAGAATCTGCCCTTGCAAAAACAGGGCTAAAAAAGTGCAAATTGAGCGAAATGAGGCATGGCTAAAATGCATGATCTGTTTGGTATTTAAAAAAAAAAAAGTATAAATATGCCTTATATAGGTATGGTCCTACACTGTATTATTAAAATATAGCATGATAGGTCCACTTTAAGTTTTGATATTGACGCTTGTTGATTGTCTCCTTTAAAGCCTGTAGTGACATGCACACTTCTCAGATTTAGTAAAGGTGGATAACTACAGTTATTTGGGATCAAGCTGTCATGCATTTACGGAACAAAGTGGACAGTACCTTTACTTTTACCCCTCTTCCTCCCCTCTTTCCTGTCCTCTACAACATGTACAAGCACACAGATCAGTCAACTGTTGGCAGAATACTAGTTTGGGAAACTCACAAAAACACTTTTCGTACGATACCTTTCCTGGGAGCAGGAACTTTTAACTTCTTTTCATCTGCACAGGACAAACAGCAGAGGAAGTTAATGTAAACTAGTCTATGGTTATATATTATAGTCTATAGTGTGCTGCCTCGTAAAATTAACTCTGTTCAAGAAGAATCAACCCCCACATGCCCAAAAAGCTATTTAAACAAACATTTTTATTCTGTTTTATTGCAGATTTCACTAGCTTCGTTTACACTTACATTTTTGTCAAAATATGGCTTAACGAAGAGTTTAATCTGGTACTGTTTCCTGTTTATTCCTGACCAACACAACTTAGCTTAATGGGAAAATCAGTGTATTCAGGTTTGAACCATTTTACAGCAACACAAATTGACAGAAAAAGCAGAGGTGAGAGTAATCACATTATTGTGAATATACAAATGGTGTTAAGGAAATCAGAAAGTGCCAACAATTCAAGCATATTAGTGCAAACAGACTTATCACAGAAAACGTTTTTAAAACAGTCATTGCCAAGTTACAGTCCTAGATGATATTTGCAGGAATGTTGTTTTTAACTTTTTTCTGGCCCCTGACCGCCTTCCACGACAGAAAATATGTTATTTTCTGGCAGATATTTTGTGTAATAAATAAATAATAAAATAAAGCTAGGATAGAAATTAAAAACATTTTTACATTCTTGAATGTCAAATTTAAAAATACCGCACATGTCCTCAACACAGCCTGCCTGCAACTGTACCAAGACCTGAATATAACGGAACTAATACAACATATAAAACTAAATAATGAATGAAAGAACCAATTTTACAATCTTAAATGTCAGATTGAAGAGTATCCACCCTCACACAAACTGATTTAAAAACAGTCCCTGCCTACAACTGCACCGTCACATGAAGATAACGTGACTATGACAAAACAAAACAACTAAGTATTTAGTAAATTTATTTAAAATATTTTATGTCAAGGACTCTTAAGGTGATTTTAGTAGATACAAATAAACAAAGCCAAAAACTGAGTGCAACATGTACACAAAAATATTGAAAAAAAAGTCTAAATGTATAGTCCTATACTGTAAGAAGCAACATTGAAGATAAAAAAACATGTTAATGCAAGTTCATTTTTACAAATCTCTCAGATTTGTATTCAAGTGCAGAATACACACGAACCAAAATATGTAACATTTCCAAACTACGATAACATATTTGCAGGAAGGTCCTTTTTAAAATGAAATGTTATTAAATTAATGAAAATGTATTTTACATATTAATTTTAGGGGCAAACTATTCCTGCTGATTAACGGCTTTATTGACCCAAAACGAGTGTTTTCAGGTAACTTAAGTGTACTTTTAAAAGGACTGTTTCCCAGTTTGGCCCTGCAGCTGAAACCAGGTCCATCATGGCCTCGACAACCCCCGCCCAACCCTCCTTATGATTGGTCGTTAGTGGGACCACAGATCCTTGCTATTGGCTGTGGGCTCTGCTTCCTGTCCTGCTATTAGTTCTGAAGTTCCAGTTTGACCTGTTTGACCTCCCCGTCATCAGAGGAGGTCGTGCCACCCTCCTCCTCTTTCTCCTTCTCCTCCTTCTCGCCCTGCTCTACAGGCGAGGACACTACGTCATAAAGGAAGGTGAAGAAGCCATACATCCAATCAGAGCCCTCGTCTGCTAAAATATCAAGAACCTCTTCAAGAGACTCGGCGTTCGGGCTACCGTCGCCATCTTTGGTCAAGCCTGACGAGAGAGAGAGAGAGGGAAGACATGCAGAGAGGAGGGAGGGAGGTGAACAAAAGGGGAGTTGGAAAGGGGGAGGCACAAGGTGGTGTTGTAAAGGAAAAGGAGGCAAAGGAAGAGATGGAGGGAGGTGTAAAAAAATGGAAAGTGACCGTAACAAAAAAATAAAATAAAGGATGAAGCGGGAAAGAGAAAGATAGAGAGTTAAAGATGTTGAATATGAAGCATAGACAACAATAAATATGTTTTAACTTCCTGTCTCAGTCTCGTCAGGCTTCCTGTCTTAAACCAAAGAACGGCGGAGGACATCTTTCCTCGAATAAACTTTAAAAAAAACACATCTGCAATTAGGGCTGGTTTTGTAAAAAGGACTGTCTGATACAAATCTTAATATAAATAATAAATAAAATTATACACTTTCTATAAATAAGTTAATTAAATGTAAACAAATCTAAATTTAAAATAAATAAATAATCGAAGGAATAAATAAGACTCGGATATCACATGACTTTTCCCGTAAATCTGTGACTTTTAAACCCAATAATCTTGCGTGGCCACGTTTGAATAATAATTGAATAGACCAAAAAAAGAAAGATGCAATACAGTATCTGATTTGTTAGACTTTGAGAGGAATACGTTGTCAAATACCAAATAAAGAGTAAAGTATTATTAAAAGTTAGTGGAGGTCTTTTGAACACCTCCTTTAAATATCAGAAAGGTTCCAACTGTTACTGTTAGTGTCTTTTCAAACGTCATGATGCCGATTTTCTTTCTTACAGGCAACAAAAGAAAATCCCTGCTTTAGTAGTGTTCAAACCACAATAGGAAGACTGGTTACTGTTTAAAACTGAGGCACCCCAACTCAACTGTAAACCACATCAGTCAGGCATCACACGGATACAACAGGCACAGATATAACAAATAAAAAAGGTGACTTGCCGAGAAGAACTTTAGCATCCTCCACGTCAAAGTCTCCGTCTCCGTCAGTGTCGTAGGCCGTCAGTTTGCCTGAGAGGAGAACAAAAAACTCACAATAAATATACCACTCGGGCTGGAAAATAAGATTATTGTTCAACTAAAACACTGAACTTTGAATGTTTTGTTTTAATGCAATTTTGATGCAAGTGGAATCTTCTGTTGTAAGAGATTAACAATTACTACGTCCACACAGAGGAAGCATTTTCTAGTTAAGACCTGTGGAATTGAACTGATATTATTCAAGTGTTTTGAACGTCTTTGGATATGTATGCAGCAATTTCAGAATATGTGACTTTATTGCAATTTGAGACACACATTTGAGCATTTTACAAAAAAACAATACGAGATTTATGGCCAAAAGACAAAGGAGTAACATGCTAATTAAAAAATTTTTATAAAAGATATGCACAAATATCACAACACCAACATTTTCAAGAAGGTGGTTATAAGAAATGAAAATAGGAGGCTGTTTAACATCAGTTTCATTAAGTAAAAATGTAATATATTCATTTTCACTATGCAGAAATGTATAGCAATCTTCTTGCATTCCTAAGAAGATGACAGAAAATAAAAAAAGGTGATATTATTATGACCCCCTAACCAACACAGCATATATATTCAATGTATACTGTATAGTCATGCAAGGAACTTTGGTTAAATAAGCAAGTATTTATTGTCTACAACAATCAGTGTAGTTACTGGAGTTTAATTTGTCTTAATTTCATCCATTTCTACACTGCTAATACGAAGTACACATAGCAGAGCACATTAAAAGCAGCACATAACAGTATGTCAAAAAGCACGAGCATGAAGTATTCATTTAGAAGAGTAAAGTTGAAGGAAGAGGAAGGATGTGGTGGAGGAGGACGCTCTCTGTAACGTTAATACGTCTGTCATCTTTTTCTGACCCATAAAACTCCACAAGGGCTTACTTCAATATGAAATAATCCAAGTTAGTGAGATTTGTTTTTAGAAATATACAACCAGAACAACATCTGGAAACACATTTTTGAAATGGCTTGATATGAAAGCTCATACTTTTTGATTTAAGTATATATTATGTTGTTTATGCTTTTCTTATAAAAGTCCTTTTTGCAGAACATACTGCTGTGTGAGGTTATCTGTTCACTGCCTCTCTGCAGATTGTGGTTTTCCATGTTCTCATTTTGGTTTAGTAAGAAACCACAGTTTAGTTTCTCTTTCTCTTGCTCTGTCTGCAGTCATTTACATACGTGCTAAACACCAACATCATCATAGTATCTCCTCATCTGAAAAGGTTATGTCAGATGTGTCAGAGTGGGGTGGTATGAGGAACTTGAGCCCTTATCTGGGGTCATTTTCTATACTCTATTTATATACACCAGACTCCACACCCCTCACAACACAGAGGTTCTGGTCGGCTGCTGCCTGCATCTTTGGGTTATTTTGTTCTGTTATTGGGTGCCTTTAGTGGTTAGCTTGAATTCACATTAGATGATTGAAATTAGCATTTTTTTCTCCAGCATTTTTTCACAAGGTTTGTTTTACATCTTCCTTATTAATCTACGTTACTAAACTCACTTTAATTCAACTCTTTCCCTCCCATCTTAACCTCATAAACTCATGATATTCTTAGGAGGATATGGTGAAGCACACAGTGTAACGAGGAACTGTACGACTGCAGTTTAAATCTTAACCGTGTACCTTGTAAAACTTCTGAAAAGTTCAAGCGAAACTCCTTCGCTCTGGCTGCATGAAGAGAAAACACAGAGAGGAAGCAGGAAGAAGACAATAAGGACTATAGCATGTTTACCTCTGAGTGCAGACACAGGGCTGAGTTAGTACAAAGAAATACAGATTCAAAACAGACACAGGGCTGCATGAAGAGTTATTTTAAATGAATATGCCAACAATTAGATTAACACGGCAGATGTTTCAGTTTTGTTATATATTTTACAGATCATGCAGCCCTGACAGACTTTAGTCACAGAGCAGAGAGAGGAAACACACAAGTCTCATTGAACATACAACACAGCTCAGTTGAAACAAAGAGCTCTATATGAAGCAGGAATTTAAACCTGACACAGAAAACAGTTATATCTCATATCATGAGTCAGAGGAGGTGAAGTTTGAGATAAGATAAACATGTCATCTGACACGTACAGCAGAGTGTGTGTGTGTGTGAGTGTGTGTGTGTGTGTGTGTGTGTGTGTGTGTCTGAGAGGAAGAGCTTGTGAAAGCGCTGCATGACTGTCATAACCACATAAAGATAAAGTTGGTTCCTGTATGAAAACCATTTTTGAAACATACTGTCTGATGTCTGAGTGTGTGCGTGTGTGTGTGTGTGTGTGTGTGTGTGTGTGTGTGTGTGTGTGTGAGACAACACAACACTATCAGCAGTCAACACCTTCAAAATAAGAAACCAACTTCCTATTTTTAAAGATTCCGTGACCATTTTTTTTCTTTTATTTCAGACGTTAACATTTTGATTCATAACATCTAATTCAATTAAACTCTCAAGACTTTTAAATCAGAAGAGAGAATCATGGAATTTCACTAGTATCGGTATAGTCTACTAATATCCCGACATCCCAGAACTGCATGTTTCTTGCACCTAGAAAAGTCACAATTATCCTCTAACTTACCGATGACACTGTCGTAGTCCACAACATCGAAGTAGACGACGGCCACGGAGCTCCAGACTCCCAGCAGGGCGAGGACTACAAACCAGGTGAACATGGAGTACTTAGCCCCTTCTCCTCCTCCACCACCTCCTCCTCCTCCTGCTGCTGCTGCATCTCCTCCTGAACCTCTCTCCGTCCTCTTTCCATTCTTGCTATCCACTGGCGCTGACTTTCCCTCTGGGGACATGAAAATCAAATCAAAGTTATATAGCCCAAGATTTTAAAATGACACATTGGTTTAAGGGGGGCTTTACAGATTTCACATTTGAAAAACCCCAAAACACCCATAATTCATTTGGAATACGTTATAAACCTCAGGAAGAAAGTTAGACAGGGGATCTCTTTGGAACAAATGTTTTTTGCATAGAATATATTTACAATCACTGAAGACAGTATTTTACAGTGTCTGGTAAGAGGACATCTCAAAGCTTAAATATGTAGTTTTATTCAGTTATGATGTAAGAAAACACTGTTATATATTGTATATAAAACATAATTGACTTAGGTCCTTATAAAAAGGGTTTTTAAGTATGTATTCATTGTGCCACTTGATAAAAAGACAATATGGCAGGAGCAGAAAGGGGCATGCCGACCCAGGAATAGAGTGAGAGACCTGCAGTCAACATGACCCTGACATAAAGAGAGAAAGAGAGAGAACAGCTGTTTGTACACCACTGACAACTAGAATAGCTTCATCTAATGAACATGAATGGCCTTAATGTTCAAGGCAGAAACAGAAATAGCTTGGTATATTGTTAGCATGGTGCCGAGTTGTTTGGAAAAGCTAAAAGGTTTTCTGCAGTGATGCAACATGCTGCAGGGTTTACATGTCTGTTATACAACAAGTGTGCATGGGGTCTTTCAAATGTTTTATTTAAAGAGGTGTTAATGCAAGAGATGGAATATCAACCAATAGAGCTTCAGGAGCTAACCAGGTAAAGGTCCAATTCATCCTATTTAACACAACGTGGAAGCTCTTAGTCTTGGATAAACATTAATGGAATATCCAGTTCTTTGAAGAAGAAAAAAGAAAAAAGAATAGACTGAATGTGGGATGCCAATAGCATGCGGAACTATAATGAAACTGCCTTTAAAATTCATTTGACTTCCGATCGGCCCAATCTGCTTATACTGCAAACAAGACCCAAGTAAACATGTATATTCAGGAGCTCTAGGTCCCAATAATTAATTCTGATAATTGATGCAGAACATTGTCAATGTGTAGAAAATAATCTAGTTTTTAGAAAAATATCCATAAAAAAGGTACTAGTTTGGAAATATAAACGCTCCAAGACTTAATAATACACCCATTCAAAGCTTCAAATGCTGTTAGTCAGCAGGCAAGGAAATAGAATATGAAATTAAATTAATTAATATCAGATTTTCTGTTAATACTTTAAGATGGACCAATGTAAAATCAAGCCATACCAGGAGATATCATCAAAGGAAACTGCCAATGTCTAAAAATGCCAAACCAAGACAAATAGAAACCATGAACCACTGGATCCAATTTACACCAAGAATCAACTCTAAGCCAACACTGGGACTGTTATTGTGAAAATAAGCTCGAGGATGTATTAAGTTTGCATTGAAAGTATACTAAGGGCATAAGCCAACCCAAAACAATCTATCCACAACAAACCAAACTATGAAGTTCTCCATCTGTATAGCACGAGCTCTCCTCCTTATAAGCACACACTTACCATGCCAAACCAAACCAAACCAAACCAAACCAAACCAATTCATGCCTTGTTTCCTAAACAATTAATTTCACTGTAAGGCTTTTATTGTGAAATGAAGCTACAGGATGTATTTTAATTTCCATTAAAAGCATGCCACAAAGTTCACAAACCCAAACCAATGTAAACCAGGACAACCCAAACTATGGTTAACTTCTCAGTTTAAACACTTAAATAACCATACCAAACAAAACCAATCCATGCCAAACCGGGCTCACAAACTCTTCATACCTGTCTCCTGAACAACAGGCTGCACCTCCACTTCCGTCTGAGGGACCTCTTCCTCTTCAACGCTCCCTAACCGGGCCAAACCAGGCAAGATAAGAACCAAACCAAACCAGGTCAAATCTAAAATCCTTCACCAGGCCTACCTGTCTCTTGGATCTCCTCCTCTTCCTCTGATAAACCTATCAGTGGCTCCTCTTCTTCAGTGTACACCTCCTCCTCCTCCTCCTCCACCTCCTCAGCATTGATCTCCTCTACAGGAGGTGAGGAGGAGCCATAGTGGCGGTAGCGTTGCATGTCTCAAAAAAAGGTGCCAGAACCAGGCAAATGCAGGCTAAACCACCATCACAATGAATTACAAATATGTGTACCAGAATATAATACGATGGAAACCTTTATTCCAGTCTGAAAAATAGGAATTAAAGGGTGCCAAAACTATTCAGACTTTCTGAAAAGACAACCAAGCACTTGAGGAAAATGGGAGTAGTTTCAATAATAGTTGCACACTAAACCACCATTGCAAAGAATAACAAACTTTTACAATAAAAAAAGATTTTCCACACTGAGAAAATAAGAATTACACAAAATCCAAACTATTTAAACTTTACAAAAGATGACAAAGTACTGTACAAAAAAGGGTTTTGTTGAAGGGATAAAAATAGAAGAAATACAAATATTCCAAATGATGAATCGTCCAAACCAGCATAAAGATAGTGTCAGTGAAGAAGGAGAAGCACAGAAAGTGACAGAGAAATAAAGAGCTCCTCCTCTTCCATCCAGAACCTGATCCACACTATTATTAGAGCGTGTGTGAGTGTGTGTGTCTGTGTGCGAGATGCCATTGAGGACAGAATAGCCCACCAATAACCTTGACACTTGTTTGTTCACACACACACACACACACACACACACACACACGCATGCACGCACACATGCACACCCTTAACTGTGGGAGAATTAAAGGGACAGTATGTGCAATCTACAGATCATGTTATACTTCACAAAGTGGACATTTAACACAAGTGAATTCTTACCAATGCAAGTTTTTTTTGGAAGTTATTCTACACCAAATCATATTTTATTTAAATACTTAAAGTGCTTGACACGGCTTACTTTAACGCTGAAACTGAACACCTTGGACTTTACTGAGGGGAATTGTACAATTAATCAATGATGGTTGCAGCTTGACCTTAACTTACTAGATAATATATATACAATTTATAGAAATGTGCCAAATGCCTCTAATGCATCAGCCTTAAAACAAACAAGTTCATACACTAGTATTTAAATAGGAAATATCCAGTAGCTCAACCATTAGAAGTAAAACAAAAAATGTAAATAGAAAATGAATGAGTTTTCCCAAGTTTAAAATCTGAATATCAAAATGTAATTTAACTACAATGGTGTGCAAATATGGGGTGTGGGAGAATCACAAGAATAATTGTAGTAACAACAAAGATGTAAAGCAAGAAAGGATGAGAAGGTCCATGAACTCACAACAGTCATATTTATAATAACAGAAATATTTGTGTACTATTATGTGATTCATGATGAAGCTTTGCTCTGATTATTAAACAACCTTTAATGTTTATGTCAGGCCTTTACATGTAATATAAAGTGGATTTGTCTGACTTTGTCTTCAACCCCTAACTGCTGTCTGTTAAAAAGTTAATAGCTTGTTAGCTTTTGTTAGCCAAGCAAACCATCATCTATGGTAGCTAGGTTAGCTTAGCGTCATTTACAGGGCTCACTTCCATGTTACCGCTGGACAAGCAAGTTATCAGTCACACAGAGCATTATTTTATCTATACTTAACCATTTTGTTTAGTTGGACAGCCAAATTCAACACAGTATTCGGGATATATTGACTGCTAGCAAAGAAATTGCTTAATTAGCCCCGAATTCTTGCTTTGCGAGAACGTTAAACCAGACTCTATTGAAAATTCGTGCAGTTAAATATTATCTTCTTTAGAGCCAAAGCAAATCATTTTAATAACACACATTAAAACATTTGCATAAACAAATAAAACCCACTACTCAATTCGGCATAGGTGAAAAACACAAATTGTCTTTACTTGACTGAAATATTATGTTTTACATCCGGTTAAAACTGTTTCTACACACCCAGCAGGACGCTCATTTTCCTCAAGAGGATAGTGGGAACCACGGAGGATCCAGCAGAGAAAGCTATCAATTGTGTTGCATATCGTGTCGGTATGTAAGCCGAATTGAAGAAAAGATACAAATAATTTATTTAAAACATTTGCCTTCGTTCTGAGATAAATGCATATTTGCCGATAGGTGTAAGACTTTAAATTGCAGGAAAATGCTACCGAAATATGGGAGAGGTGCGTCCATGGGTCGGAGATTCCAGCAAGAAAAGGGTACTGACCTTTTTTGGAGTGGGTTTTGGGAGTCCTTTTCTGGGCCATTGCTTCGTAAATTCTGCGATGTAACTTTTCAGCCTTGCAGCTACGAACTAAAAAGCTAATATATCTGTAATTGAGACAAACACATGAGAAGTAAGCTCTACTGCTCGCTTAATTTTCTGCGTTCTCATTGATGAAGCTACGAGTTGTCCAAAAAAATCACGTCCTCACTTGGATACCAGTAAAGCCAAAGTCCATAGTAACCGTGATGGACCTTACATTCAACCAATCACAGCCAGAGAAAGAGTCAATAGGCGGGACTAAAGGTGGGTTTTCAGGATTCTGGACCAATCAGGTTTCGGTGCAGGTTCCCAGCGTTGTCCCCTCTTTGGAAATGATGAAAAACGTGGCAGCAGAGGAAGAGGAGTCTTAACATCTGGGCGGAGAAATAATGATGAATATTTTAATACACTTTTTTGGTACACCTAATGCATTAAATAATATGTTTTAGTTTACATTTCAATGGCATAATAAATAAAAAAAGAAGAAATAAAACCACATTATAAGAAAAAACATCACATTGAAGTATACAAAAACATATTCAATACTTTGAATTATTTTACAAGCATTATAAAGACAAATCATTATCATCAAATCTAATTAGAGGTACATAAAGTGAGCAGCTCCTCCTACAGTATTTACCGTCCTACTTTACTAGAATGTTTATAAATGTAATATATTGTGTTTAAGTTTGCATGTATTATTTTCCACCTGTGCATGTAACAACATATAATGGTCGGTGTTTATATCAAAAGTTTAGTATGAGTTTACTCAAGATGAAATGTGAATTTAAAAAACAAAATAGTTGTCTTAAAATGACAATTGCAATATGACAGGTGCAACTAAATATTCAGTTTTGACGAAACGAGTCACGAGTGTATAAAAAGTATATCTATGACAAAAGGGATGCAAACTCTATGTAAACCGTACAGAGCAGTGTTATCCTGCAGAGGGCGCTGTGGTATAACTTTTAGACAGTCCCTCGTCCATCGAAATGATTGTGTATCATCACTTTATTATTCTGAATTGTTTGTAGTGTAATGTTCTACTGCATTTCTCACATATCTTTTTACAGAGAAGACATAGAATACATTTTAAGCATCTAGAAAGCCAAACCAATTAGATTATTTGGACAAAACAAAATGTATTCTGAATCTTTAAAGGAAATGTGTGAACTTCAGGGTTATCAAGGGTCTGAATTGTTGGACTGCATAAATGACTATACTGTCTAAACAACTCTATAAAGGACTTTATATTTGTGCAATCTTTGATTTCCATATTTTACGTATTTTATTCCTCAAAAAGTGTCTTAGCTGCATCAGAGCATCATGATTCCTGGGATACTAAAAAAGAAAACTGGGATACATGTCAAATTCCCTACATATTACTGACTAATTAAAGTAATAAAATAACACAATATCTTCTCGATCTGAAGAACTGCAGTTAACATATTTGTTGCTGAGCCTAATTTAGATGTCTGAAAGAAGCTATAGAGACTGACAGGTGTTACAGTGCTCACACACACACACACACACACACACACACACACACACACACACACACACACACACACACACACACACACACACACACACACACACACACACACACACACACACACACACACACACACACACACACACACACAATGTTTCTCATACGACCAGACAAACTATACACGCACACACACACTCAGTTTGCTAATGAAGACCGTGTGTCACATACCAGCCACCCATGAACCAGGGATTAACCACTCAACAAAGACACGCACGCATGCACGCAAACACACACACACACACACACACACACACACACACACACACACACACACACACACACACACACACACACACACACACACACACACACACACACACACACACACACACACATATATTGTGTCTGCTGAGAGAAGCCTTGTTAAATCTCATTAGAGGTGTGAATAGTTTCTTCTATTAAGAAAAAACATAACTAAGCCTGGTATGTATATCATTTTCTTTTAAGTATTCAAAGAAAATGTATGAGACTTTGACAAGCTTACAAACTAGACAATTGTTAGTTTATCGTTATATATAAATCTATACTTTGATAATAGTGTATAAAGGTCATCAGCTGTTACAGTAACAATGTGTCTGCGTGTTGATGAAATAATAATATCAAAAGCATGTTTAAAATGTTCACCCAGTATCTCCTGATATAAGTCTCTGCTATAAAGGCGAATAAGAGGAAGCAAGTACCTCAGTCCTGATGCAGGAGGCAGTATAACTCCACACAAATACCAACCCACTTAGTGTGTGATGAGAAAACCCCACTCCATCTTCATTTTATACTTTATCCTCCTCCCACCTTGTCTCAAAGAAGAGTGCAATAGGTGTCCCCTTTTATGGTTTTTATCTTTTCTTACTCTGGTGTTTTTAAGAGGAAACAGTTGTTCATTTTCAGGTTCATATTTGTATTTTGTGCCTCTACTGACATGTTTCCATGCTTTAATGTTCCAAAAGAGATTTCCCGCTCATTAGCAAATCACCCACGGTGCCCATCCAGTGGATAAATGGTGTTGCAGTGGCCTCTATGGGTGCTCTTCATCTGGAGAAAATGTGATAAGGCACCCCCGAAGACGACCGCAAGGGTCCTGATCCAGCAGAGAAAACATGATAAGGGGCTCTCTAAGTTACATTCCAGTGGGGGAAACATAATAGAGTGCCCTTTAGAGGGACCTTGCAGTTGAGAAAACATGATATCCTGCCATCTAGCTAGCCCCTCAGATGGGGAACACATGATGCAGTTGCCCCTCAGATGGGGAACACATGATGCAGTTGACCCTCAGATGGGGAACACATCACAGATTGCCCTCCAGGGTTCCTTTCCAGTGGAGAAAATGTGATAACGTGCCCTCTAGGGTGCCCTTGGTGGCACACTACCAGTGCAGAAGACATGAATAAATATCATCTATGATAATCTTCTAGTGGAGAAAACATGATATCTTAACGTCTATGGTCCCTTTCAAGAGGTGAATATATGAAAAGGTCCCTGGGTGGCTTTCCAGTGGAGAAAACGTCCTGACTGCTAGAAACTGGCCCCACTGCCTGCACCATGGAGCCATTTATTTGCCCACTTCTTACCTTTGTTTCTCTCCTTCTCCTCGGCTTGCCTTTTCTTGTCTTTTCGACTGTGTTGCTGATGATTAAGAAAATTATGATAATAGTTAATGAGGATGAATGCAAAAGATAATCAATATTTTGGGTAGCTTGCATCAGAATGAGTATTGTATCCATATGAGTGTGTGTGTGTGTGTGTGTGTGTGTGTGTGTGTGTGTGTGTGTGTGTGTGTGTGTTAGTGTGTGTTATCACTGAGCGTCAGCCGGCTCTCTGCTTTGTTTTTAGGTCACTTTTACACCGACTCCTTAAATCAGTCTGAAAGCAGCTCGCTTTCTAAAATAGAAACAATTAGTGTGGGCTTGACATTCAACTCTTTCTCTTTCAGTCCTCCTTCCTGTCTTTCTGTCCTTTCAGGTTTTTTGTCGTTTTTTGGGAGAAGTAAGACTCGCCAGCACACTGTTGGTTTGTTTCCAGCCTGCTTTCCTTGATATCATCAATGAAATGCCTTTTTCAGAATCATTACCTTTGTGATTGCATCTGTTTTGTCATTTGCAACTCTTTGCCATCCTTTGCGTATCTTTTTATGGTTGTTTTAAATCTCATTGTGGTTGTTTTGCACCTATTTGTTGGTCCTCCTGCATCTCATTGTGTGTCTTTTTCTGAGTGTCTCTTTGTAGTTGTGCCTGTTTGCATCGCTTGGCAGTTGTTCCGCCTCTCTTTGTGGTGGTTTTGTATCTCTTCTTAGCCATCAGTTAGACGGTCTTTCTTCAAGACACAAGCGAAGTTTGTGTGTGTTTGAGGTCCCTCTTGAGAGGTCATGGAACACACTCCTCTTTCTACCTCGCCCGCCATGGGACCTCATCAACACCATGCTGCCATGGCGATGCAGAACACACACACAGGCAGACACAGGCACACAGGCACACACACACACACACACACACACACACACACACACACACACACACACACACACACACACAAACACTTGTGTAAAGGTCTCCCACGGGACTCCCAAACATTTCTTACAAAGGAAGGGGAGGACAGAGGCATGGTAATTAATTTCCATCCAAGACAGTCTGTAGAATAAAAACGAACCACACACCCACACACAGACACACACACACACCTCTTATGTCATAGCGATTGTGTGTGTGTTTCATGACTAAGCCCTTAAAGAAACACATGACATCACAGACTGTATGCTGCATCAGCAACTGTCCTGCATATACTTTATGTGTGTGTGTGTGTGTGTGTGTGTGTGTGTGTGTGTGTGTGTGTGTGTGTGTGTGTGTGTGCATGTGTCTTTGTTTTTGTCACTGTTTGATCTTAACCAGCAGAGAGGGGCAAGTCAGAACGATCACACCCAGAGATGAAGAAGAAGATGGGGAAGATGAACAAGAAGAAGGAAATAAAAATGGGACAAAGATTTCTTCTTGTTTTTTTGAACCAACAGTTGAAATTCCCCCCCAAATAGTAGTATGTTCTTTACAATTTAAGGTTATTTTTATCACGTCAATAGTGGCACATGTTTTGCTGCAAGAAGGAACTGATCGCTGCATTAAACTATCACTGTTTCATATCATAGCAAGTGGAGAGAACATGGGACACAATGTAAGCTTTGCACTATGAACCAGCCTAGATCCCGATTTGTGTAATGCAAATTTAAATAATGAGATCGTATAACCATTCAAACACACACACACACACGCGCGACCTTGCATAGGGTGTTTTCCCTCCCTTCCCACAGAAACAGATAGACCAATCTGTGTTTGTGTTTGTGTGTGTGTGTGTGTGTATGTCCCTGTGGTCCAGAAGTCAACTTTTAAAACAAACTGACAGGTGTCAGCTGAGGTCAGCAGAGTGGCTCTGTTTATGTGTATATAAATGTGTGTGAGCTTTTGTGTATATGTGCAGTGTGTGTCAATCAGGGATATTTCGAATTAAATAGAAGTGCATATTGATCAGGTAATTTACTGTTACGGATCAATGCAAACAATATTGTCGCCGATTCATTTAAAGGGGCAGTTCACCAATTTGTTAGCCTGATTCTTACACCTAACATATAGATAGATTATTTAA